TATTAGAGGTTGTAAATAGAATAGTATTAAAAAAAAAACCGTTACACGTAAATTATAGTAATTAATTACTTGCATTGCTTTTTATAAATTATTTACTAATAACTAACTTTTTCGTAATTTAATAATTCACTAATATTTGATAATAATGCATTATGGCGCTACTATATTTTTTTACTCTTGATCGATATCTTTGTTATATTTATTTATTGACAAATCTGTGATGTTTTGGATTGTTTACGAAAATGCAAATATTTTTAACCTAAATTATTGAAATTGAAATACAAAATAATGTTATTTATCTAACTAAATTTTAATAACAAGTTAAAATGTAATTTAATGCCCTAGTTGGCACTGCTGTGCAAAATAATAAATAAGGAAAGAATTTAATTTAGAACATCGAAAAAATCGGTTATAAGATAAAAATAATGTATGAAAAATTGCCATATTCATATTCTAAATAATACATGCAGAATTATCTACTATCATCATTTGACAAATGTTAGATCCATCTTAGATTCCAACGTTCCAATGATCCATTTTAGATTCTAATTAGAAGTTACTACGTTCCACTGATCTATCATCGAAAAATGCAAGAGATATTTCTTACTAATTCAGTAATTAATTAATATTTACCAGTTTATTTTAATTCTTTTAGTTTAAGTGAAAAATACAATAGAATTTATTTGGCTCTATTTAGTTAAAATTAGAGAACACTACAAATATGTTTGTTCATAATTGTATTATAATTTAACGAGCAAAATAAATAAAATATGACATCATGCAGTTCAAATATTTTCACTGCAATTTGTGGTACATGTGATATTTAGTAAATATCAAAGTGAATATTATTTATCTTACAATATTCAACAAAGTGGAGATTTAAGATTTTACTAGATGTTATAGTCTATAATAATAATATTTTTTTTTCATTATTATTATTTTAAAGGGCTACCGATTGTGTTCAGGGTTCAAACATGGTTTTGGAAAGATTGAATGATATTTTCATTATTATTATTTTTTTTGAAGAGCAATCAGATTTATGAGTTCTTGAGGTGTATTTCTTTACAACCTAAAGTTGAAGACTACCCATTGATTTTCCTTTCTCTTTGTAATGAGATTTTTAGTAATTATTTCGAATAATAGTACAATTATATCAGTATATCACACCAACGCCCCGAAAAGCTATTTTTACTCGATATAAGATTTTTTCGATTAAAATCTTTATTTTCACGTAAAAACTGATATCTTACTGCTTGATCAAAAAGTGTTAATTAAACCAGGAACATTATATGGTTGCAAAGTCGAGGCTAACCACGGAACAAGGTAAAAATTACTAAATTTCAATGAATTAAAACAAGTGTTTGGTTATATAGTTACATTTGAAATTTCCTACAAATTATCAATATCAATGATAAATCTATCAACTATCAAGTCAATAAAATTTTAACAATAGTTTATGAGTATCATTATCTCATAACATTGATTTATTTCATATATTTGAAAGATCTGTTGATAACATTTCGTCCTTAAGAGATAAGACTATGTGCACTGATAAAATTAGTTAGTGATGTCTAATAAAATAAGCAACTATTTAATTTTAGATACTGGCGTAATATAGTAAAAGTTCGATTTCAAATTTACACATTGAATTTTAACCAACCAAAACCTGAATCGAAACCTTTTTGGTTTTTAAAGAAAAGAAAATTCTAAAAAAATAATGAACTTTTAAAGTCTTGACTCATGATTGGTATTTCTTTGCATCAAGTTGCATAAAAACAATATAGAAATGACTAGTTCAAACGATGATCAGATTAATAAACCATTATATGTACATCAAATAAGATAAACATAACTGTTCACGACCTACTGTAAAAATATAAATTTTTCATTTTTCTTCAACCCTTGATATTTATTTAAGCAAAATGTATTTTATACCGCCCACTCTATAAAGACAAAAACATGTTTTTCTCGAGCTTTTAATAAAAAAGGAACAAATGGAACTTTGGAATAATATTTTTTGTACATAATATATTTATCAACTTTGATCTATAACTGCTTTAATCTCGAGTACCTTAAAAATCAAGGAAACTTGATATGATACGAGATAACTATTGAGAAAATATGACGCAAATTATATATCATTAACATTTTAATAATAAATGTTTTAAATGGCAATGATCAAATTTAAATGATGACTTGATAGTTATAAATAAATCACAGAATTAAGATTTGTTTAGGAACCCGGAGGGTAAGAATCATTAGCAATTGGTAGTAACATTTTTTTATTATTAATGAAAATAATTAGGAATCAGTACAAACAATATTCTATGAGCTAGATGCAAAATTCTATGAGCTACTAGCTTTAAAATATGACAATTTTTCTTCCAAATCTATAGAATTTATTTAAACTAGAATTTATTAAAACTTTAATGATTTTAAAATTGCTAGAGCCAAACAAACGATTATTTATGCATGGAATATTTGCACTAAAGTTATACGTGGAATATTAATATTACACGGTTTTATAATTAAAATTAAATTTGAATTTGCTTTCTGGACTAATATTTGTAATATTGCAATTGACAACTTTTTGAGGTGATAGAACATTTTAAGAACAATTTGATAATTAATTAGTTTCATTTATTCTATTTTGATTCAAAAATTTAAATCTTAGTTACTTTAGTTACTTTTTTGTTGTAAAATTCATTATAAACAAATTGGTGATGTAAGATAAAAATATAGAGCACACGGGTTAATTTATTATAATGGAATATTGTTGTCGATACAAATTTTGTTAAATATTTTCCAGAAGTGCGTACCTATTACGATGTAAATTGCTACTAGGTATTTTTTATTTTGTACTGAAGATAAAATATAAATAAATAACTATATTTACTAGATAAATTGATAGAAAATTCAAAAATTTGAATTAATTGATGTCTTAAATTTGATAAATAAATTAGAATCACACTATTATAACAATATTGTTATAATATTTCAGTCATTCAGAATATATTTATTTACATTGATTTTTACAATAAAATTTTAAGTCAGATTGCAAAAACTTTTTTGCGTTCTATAATTCATTATTCCATGTACAATTAAAAGAACCAAGATAATTTTTTTTATTCATTAGATACAACTATAAAAAATGATATGAATTATAATATAAAAATATATTAAAATTGTCATAAAATAAACAACAGAAATAATATAAAGTAAGGTAAACCTAGTTTTTGAATGTTAATATCACCTTTAACTCTTCTTTCTTAGATGGTCGACATTATTGTCTTAATTTAGTTTCTTCGAATTAAACATCCTTATTTTTTTTATACTAAAATGAATGTGGTTGAAGTATCTTTTTCCATGAAAATGGTTTTTTTATGATTTGTGTGATAAGCTTTTCATATTTTATTTAATTTCATTCTTATACCATCTATTATTTATTTATCTATTTATGTTGTTAGCTTTAAATATAAAATGTTATTTTTTGAAAACAATTCTACACTAGTTGTACCTTACTTTACAAGTTTTTGTTGATTAGTTTATGATAAGTATAATATATTTTATAATATTTTTTATATATTTTTTTGTAGATTTGTGCACTAAAAAGAAGACAAATTAAGACTAAAAACGTATGGAATTCGATCAAAATTATTTTTAGAAACATAATTCAGTTTTCTTCCTATTTCTATTATGTGGACAGATGAAAAATATAAGATTTTTTGTCACATTCTATAAAATTAGTACAAATATTGATAAAAAATTGTTAAATTTGAATAATTTGTTTCTTCAAGTTTGATTGAATGAATCAGAATTATTTTATTTATTGCATTGCACAGATTGCTAAAGATCTTTTATGTTGCATATTTTATCGTCGAAAAAATTTTGCACACACACCTATACACACACACATATATATATATATATATATATATATATAATTTATAAAAAATGTTAAAAACAGCCCATTTCTCGAAATAAAAGCATAAATTTGTTGTTTATTATAATGAACAACAATTTTATTTTTTATACGTTTCGACACTTGATGTGTCATCATTAAGTCAAAATCACCAGGTCAAAAGCATGAAACTTATAAATCTTAAAAATTAAAAAAAATTGGCGGAATTTAACATAAAACCATAATTATTAGAAAATGGAGAATTATATTATTTAAAGGTATAATAAATCATAATACTCCGCAAAAGTAACAGAACCAATGTGTAACCCCGTAAAAGTGACAGAACCACATTGGTTCTTATAGACTAGTATGATTTTTTGCTCCATTATGCATTTAAATAATATAATTATCCTTTATCTAATAATTATAGTTTTTTTTGTTAAAATCCGTCAATTTTTTTTTTAATTTTATTAAGATGTAGAAGTTTTATGCTGTTGACCTGGTGATTACTGAATGATGACACACGTCTGGTATCAAATATCAATAAACAAATTATTTCTTAACCAATTTTTTTATTTCGATGAATGGGCTATTAAGATATTTTTCAAAAATGTAATTTTTTTTTCAAATATATATATATATATATATATATATATATATATATATATATATATGTGTGTGTAATATTTGTTCAATAATTATATATAATAATAATAATATTCATGTATAATAAAAATAAGAGTTGCAATCGCTCGCAAAAATTTATATATATATATATATATATATATATATATATATGTGTGTGTGTATATTCGTAAAATCTCCGTCTAATTACTTTGTTTCCTGAATGTCCAACAAAAAATTTCTTAAGACCAAATCATGAAACGATATCTAATAATTAATTTTTCTGATCAAGTGGTTCTATCACAGATAGTATCCTTGATGTTGGCATTGATCTAAAATCCATCCTTTGACATTAGAATAAAAGCAAACATTAGCGATAAATACCAAATAGCAAACGCTTCAGTTTTTTATAAAATGATATTTTATAAAGTCCTAACCCTACTACAGACCACCAACACCTTGTTTCCCTTATCACCTTGTGTTAGGGTCCTTTTCCAGCCCTCCCGTGTCTCGGTCAAGGCCATCGCCGTTAACGATGGTATCCGTTGCTGTTTCGTCGTTCAACGTCATCCTGTCGTTTTTGCACAGAACATGGATCGAAAACGACACTTAACTGTCACTTAAATAACTTGATAAAAAACTGAACTTAACTTAAATTTAATGGTCTATTGAATGATTTCACCACGCACTTAATTTCTATGTAAAGTGTCTCCTGTACGGAGTATCGTGGAGTAATGAGATCGACAATGAGAGACACGCACTGGGCACTGGCACAGTACGCGCTACGAGACCTACTGACACACAGATTATGTAGAACCGCAGCCCCCGTGGTAGAACCGAACAGAACTACCGAATGTAGCAGAGAAAAACAACTTATAGTTGAAATTTCTCATTTGAAAAAATAATATCATTAACAAAACTTTATTTTAATATCATTAACAAAACTAGTGGTGGTATCGTGTATTAAATTTCTGATTGTACTGAAAGTACTGAAAATTCAAATTCTTGAAAAAGCTTCACAATTTTTTGAAGGCATGTAAAAATTAGATAATTGAGATATTTGAAATTTCTGAAAATATTGGACTTACAGAAAAACCTCTTTTATCCGGACTACCAACCGCGATCAATTTATATGTATGTACTTACCTACAATTCGAATTTTTGCATGATTAAGCTGAAGCTTAGTATTTGTATGTAATGAAATTTGTATATATATATATATATATATATATATATATATATACATAAGAAAGTTTCAATTTCTTAATAAACATCTATGTAGGTATTTGTTATTTTTAGTAAATACATATTATTCTTCATACATTCGATTATGCGGTTTTTTGATTATCCGAATGCCTATCGACAATAATTGGTCCGGTTAATCGAGACTTTACTGTACTTGTACAATTTGATTTATTTGTAATATTTTTTTGAGAATTTAGATTTTTGCAAAGCAATAGCGCTGCGTAGCTATTTTAGAGACGAAATGAAAAACCCCAAATGAGGTCGCATAGGAAAATTCTGGAGTCGTGAGAGTTTTCAATGTCAAATATTTATATCATTTTATAACATAACGAGTCTAGTTTTTTTAAGGTTTTACAACCTACTCCAAAACTATATATTTTCATATGCATTTATTACTATATTGTTACCAAATGAATAAATCATCTAAAAATAATAATTTAATCTTTTTTATATGTGTGGGTTTGTCAAAAAAACTCGCATTCATAAATGCGGTCGTTAAGATTTTCGCAATCATAAATCGGGTCGCGAAGGACAACAGTTTAAGAAGCCCTGGTCTAACGGATAAACCCTTAGAAATGTAAATAAAATTTGTATGTATTATTGAAATCTCTATAAAAGATCTTATAATTTGATGACCATTAAATGGATTTTTTTTTACTTTTTTAATGGATCTTAAAAACCACTGGACCTGTATTCCCAAAAATTCAACAATTGCTTCATTTCGCCAATACAAGTGAAAGATTTCTTTAAGCATTCAAATCGAACGCTCCGGTCTCTCAAAAACTTAATTTCTATTTTCTGCACTCTCTGCACGCTCTGCTTCGTATCTCCGAAACGGCTCGATCTGCCTTTGCCAAAAACTAATCAGCACGTCTCCCTATCAATAGGAATCGAATGCTTTTTGAATAATTCTAATCGGTTAATCCGTGCTCTCGAAATTGTGGACGAAAATTTGTATCAGAACATATATACACGCATACTATACATACACATCAATTTTTTTAAGATATGCTAAAATGTTCAGAAATCTTTGAAATATAAAGTTATGAAAAAAATTTCATTTTTAATTTTTTTGCGTTCACTATAAATTATCGAGCTGGAAATTAAAAATTATTGTGGATTCTAATCTAATTTGTCTCTGGCAGTAATTAATTTTGAATCAATATAGTGATTGAAAACATTTGTTTATTGAAATAATTATAAATGGAAGGTATTTAAGTTTTTTTATTTTTAGGCATTTTATAAAAAGTCTTATATATTGCTAATACGAATCTTTATTTCATTTAAGTGTAGCTCTTCTTGTAGAGTTTATTATTATATATTTAACTTTTCGTGAACAGCTATTATTATTTAAGTCTTTACTTTTTTAAATTAAAAACTTTTTTTATTCCGAAATCGATAACACTAATTTTTTGTCAAAAGCGTAACAAAGTACTCAAGAATATTTGCATAATCTAATTTAATTTTACTTGGCCAACAAATATAAAAACAGAATAGACGTCCATCCTGGCCAAATAGTAAGTCAAGTCTACCAAAAGACTTAATATAGTATATTTTAACTATAATACTTTCATGCTATATTTTGTTTTCTTTCCCTTTAAATTAAAAAGAGCGACTGGCAATATGTACATATTGTTAGAACTTTAATCAATTAATTATATTAAAATTAATTTACTATTAAACCCACTTTTATTAATATTTTTCAATAAAAAATCCATTTAAATAAATTTATTGCAACCTATTTCCGTTTATCGCTCTAGTAGATACGTCGCTGGGGGTACATGTCTATCAATTTGCAATCAACTTTATTTTACTATATATTTATGGGCATTTTCTGCTTAATGTAATAATACATAAAGATTGCAGAATAAAATTGAATTAATTAAAACTTGGTAGCTTTTTGTAATGAAATTTTTAGCTCCGATATGTGGGTAAAGAGAAGGTCAAATGCGATTAAAATGTACTTAATCCATTCCTTTATAATTTTATTTTAAAGTAAGAAGTATTTCAATAGTATTCAATTTGCACATTAAATTCATTCAATTTTGCCATCACTGACGGAGATACATCCTACCATCATTGTGAGATTCGTCCCACTTTTCTGCGCAGAATCGGGGTTGCATTTTCCAGTGTGACGTCATAAGTTTCCCGCACTTTTACCGCGTTTCCTTCGTCTCCCGGTTAAACGACAAGGAAGTGGGCAAAAACGGGAGTGGCTAGGTCAATCGCTCTGGGATTGCACCCGGTTAGGAGTTAGGAAATGACTATTAACTTATTCAGTTTGCGTAAAATTGGAAATATACGTTAGGTGCTAGGAAAACAAGCTAGTTGATAATTTAAATGTATGGGTGTGATTTAGACTAGAACACCGAGGTTTTGAAGATGCTTATTTTATTCTCTTTATTGAATTACAATCTGTCTTTACAAAAAGGAATACATACAGTAATTTTGATGATATATCAAATATTAAACATTAGATCTAAAAGATTACCCTGTAGTGAGCCTTTTCAATTTTGATATATTAAATTTTAATTTTGTGATTATTTATTTATTTATTTATTTATTTATTCATTTGTTTATTTAAATATATAGCCCACAGATTACTCCAGGAGGACTCAAAACTACAGATATTTTGCATAATGAATAACAATTAAAATATATATAAAATTACAATATATAGTTATTAACATAAAATGCTTACATAAAATTACATATAATGCAGAATGTAACAATATTATTTATAAACAGAATAAGATAAAATAATGAGATATTTGAAAAGAAAAGAAAAAGGTTAACTTGTGCAGATGGAGATTATTTGATTAGGTAAACTGTTGTGAATATCTATTTCATTATTAATTAAGTTAAAGTTAGAGGACATAAGTAAAATAGGCGAATTTAAGAGAGAATTAGATTTAGGACTAGGATAATGAAAAAATAATTGTGAACGCGTAGATAGCCTTGGAACATTAAAGGATAGTTGATTAAGAATAAGAGGACAGTCTATAGAATTATTGCAAAGTTTAAATAAGAACATAATTGTACAGATAAATCGACGTGAGGCAAGGGAAGGGATGCCAAATTCTTTTAGTAAAGTGTTGTGGTCAAAGTTCAGGGTAAATTTTATATGTTTTATAATAAAGGTATTTCAGAAATTTTCACTGAACATTCTCTATCGCATCAGAGTTGTTGGTTTGATGAGGATACCATCATTATATAGAGTAAACTTAAAAATAAAATAATCTATGAGGTAAATGAGTATAAATTGTGAATTAAGAGGTTTATTGCTGTAGAAATTTTCAGAATGAAGTAAATAGAAATCAAATATATATTGGGTATGTTCTTGATTAAAGAGAATTGAAAGGGAAGTAGACAGGTATATGATAGGTGTCCGGATAGTGACAATTATAACACATTTTTTACACGTACCAAGAGGACGTCTATTAATCACGTGATCGATTTTGTAAGGATTTTTGGAACTCCTTCCCCCTTCGTGATACGTGGTGATATTCAAAATTACCCTCCTCTTCCAAAAAACATCACGTGTGTATTAGTTACGAAAAAAAATCGTAAAAATTTTCAATTTATTTTTAAAAATGTTTTTTTTTAATTCAGATAAAATAAATATACGTGATATCTTACTAGACCCCTCCCTCCCCCACATGATATTTCATGACTTTTTGTCAAATTCTAACATGATTAATGAAATATCCCAAAGTACCAAAATTGACTGATTGTCATTTTATTTTGAAATTGCTTGTGATATCCGAAATTCGATTAAACACCATTTATAAGTGAAGTCAGATTAACATATTTTAATCAGTATATACCAGATGAATGCTATAGCATCCACGTCAAGTTTTACGCTTCTATTTTACGCAATGTGCTTGCCCAAGCTAAGTAGTGATCATGGGAGAAAATGAGATAATACGAAAATACCTAAAGAATCAGTTAGTCATTACCTTTACAGGTATAATAATTACAAAAACTATATAACTATACAGTTATATTAAACTAAATTCAAAATAATTGACTTCAAAATTGGAATGCTACAGCATTCATGTCATTCACAATCAAAATGAATGATATAGCATTCACGTACGCAAATATATTAAATTAGGAAGGGAAATTAATAGAGCGATGGAAATGTCAAAAGACTTCGTCTTAGATCGTTTCACTTAATATCAACTTTTAAAACCTAACCTCCAAATGGCACTGACGTCAAAATATAACATTAGTCGACTTCACGCATTTGTTATTTTAAGAGAAATATTTTGTTGTTACTACAAAATTGTTTGAATATTTACTCACAATTAGGTGTGTTATTAAAATATGATAATATTGTTTAATTTTCTATATACATGAAATAATTTGTTTTAGTAGTATTACAACTTGTATATAATATATTTACATTACATTACAAGCCGCTTACAAATATATTTGTAAGTGGCTTTGCAAATAATTAAAGCCAATAAATAAATAGTAAATATTTATAAATAAATAACTATCGGTAATGCAATAAAGAATGCAATTGAATATTAGGGTGCATTCGACTTGGACGCTTACGCGCTGTGAGCGCTCACGCTTATAAGCACGAATTTTTAGCGTTCGACTTGGCCGATAAGCGCTCAGAATCGATAACTAAATTCCGTTCGTTTTGGATACTGTGAGCGTCAATAAGCATCAAAATGGCGGCAACTGGCGGTAACGGTAATTGTGTAAATTTTATTACTTTCTGGATCATTCAGCGGGATTATAAAGAATTTAACAATTAATAAATAAATGAAATTTCGTTTGCTTATGCTTAATTCATATTAACATTAATAAAATTTAAAATTATTTAAAATTAATTAATATTAATATTAATATTAAAAAATAATTGTGTTATACAACTTGGCATTTTTGCGGGATTATAAAGAATTTAACAATTAATGAATAAATGAAATTTGGTTAGCTTATGCTTAATTAATAGTAATATTAAATTTAAAATTATTTAAAATTAATTGAATTTAAAATTAATTAATTTAATAATATTAATACTAAAAAATAAATGTGATATACAACTTGGCATTTTTGCGGGATTATATAGAATTTAACAATTAATAAATAAATGAAATTTGGTCAGCTTATGCTTAATTAATAGTAATATTAAAATTGAAATTTAAAATTATTTAAAATTAATTAAATTTAAAATTAATTAATATCAATATTAATATTAAAAAATAATTGTGATTTACAGCTTGCCATTTTTGCGGAATTATAAAGAATTTGACAATTAATAAACAAATGAAATGACAGATAGTAAAAACAACTGACGCTCACGCTCACGCTGCCCTACCTCTGTGGCGTGAGCGTATGTGAGCGCAAAATTTGTGCTACGAGCATCCTACGATGGTGCTACGAGCGTACTTATGCCACACTCACAGCGCCAAGTCGAACGATGAAAGCGCGCTCATGGCGCGCTCACAGCGCGTAAGCGTCCAAGTCGAATGCACCCTTAGTGTACACGTGAACCGATTTTTATTAATTAATAATTTTATCAATTAATGATTTTTGAATGGTTCAGATTGATAACCAGAATATAAAAATCTTGTAGTAATGTTCGCAGTATATTTTATAATAATTTATATTTTGGATATCATACTTGACTGATTGAAATGAAACTAAGACATTTTGAGTATTCAATCAATTGTGAACATTCATTCACCTAATAAATTTGTTTAAATATAGTATGATTTCAAAAATAAATATATAACCAAAAAACTTCCTTAATCGCATTAAACGCTTTTTAAGTAAATTTGAATTATTTTTAAGCTTATTGCAGTTTTATTTGACTTACGTCAAAGTGACATCTCGTACATTTTTGTTGCCTCGATTTGGCTTGCGAATTGCTGATAAATTTTTCATTTTCTCGTTTTATATTCTTCTTGTAGTTACACATTTTAAATTTATAATAAAATTAGTTCAGTAATTTAAAAGTTTGATAAATCTTGTGATAACAACTAATTAATTTTGAATGCATTTGAATTTTGGATTATTGAAATATTTAAACATTATAGAACATAAAAATTATATTTTTTTAGTACGCAAAAACTTATTGTTATTTCATGTTAGTAATTTCATTGATAATTTATTGGAATATGCAGTAAATCTAAAATATTTAGCAATAGCAAATTAATAAAAAAGGAGACTTTTAAAAATGCCAGTAAATTTCCTATTCTTTATAATCAAAAGTCTATCAACTATACTAGACTTGATAGATATAATAATAACCAAGAACTTTAGTGTCGGTTTATCTTACTATTTCATCAATTATCGGTTATTTTTACTTTTATTCATTATAATTTTTAACTATTTCCTTAAGATACTTAGTATTATACTTGGATTTTATTTACGCATATTGTTATTTTAAATAACTTAAAATAACGTTATATAAATTTGTAAATTATTTTGATTGTTCTTGGTATATTTTTGCACGTTCTTGAATCTTATCTAGTATAATCAAAGCAAAAATATTTTTCTAAATAAAATTGCACACACTTTTCTAGTATTGGCAATAACATATTGAAAATAATTCATGCAAAAACATTTAAAAAAATCATCAGTGAAAAATTTTCTTCATATAACAATAAACATAAACATTATATTAAAGTGGAGAAATGTTTCTTTATTTTTAATTTAATTAAGCGTTATATATTGCAAGTATAGACGTGTAGGGTCTTTGAAATAATTGATTAACTTCCGTTTAAATCAGAAAATATATTTTATACTAGTAATAACAGAAAAAAAATGATATTAAGATCTAAAATGGTTTTATTAATTTTTTTAAATAAACTTAAACGTTTTGTAATCTATTTCCTAATAATCAATAAACTTAAAACAACACTGTATTATAAACTGATTACAATAGTGTATTTCATTTACTTTTAACTCATACATATATCGTATCTAGTTTGGTGTATATTCAGTCTATTTTGTTATTTGGTATTAAATTTAACTTCATTTAATTCTCTAAGCTCTACAGTACAATAAGTTTGCACAAGCCAAGATTAAATATTAAATTATTAAACACTATCTCTACAGAATGTATTCTGTAGAGTTCTTGCTATCTATATAAACGGGTCACAGAGATTTGCGCTTGTTTACTAATAAATGACATCACTGCCCAAAAAAACATAGATAATTGTTAATAATTCATGTTTATTCGCAATTAATAATTACTGCGACATTATATGTCATAGTGTATTTGCGATGATTGCATATCAAGTATGAATCATTTTATTGCTGAAGTTTTTGAACTAAAGCAAAAATTTTGCTGTTGCGCTAAAAATGAAACACTGATTCAAATGTATTCAATATTTAAAAAAAAATCATGAGTCCATAAAATTGTGAAGGTATTGCAAAAATTCTGCTTCTAAATTCTCGTTTTCTATATGTACTGCTTTTTACTTCAAGTATATCAAAATGATTTTCAAATAATGCAAATAAAAGTTTGCTATCATCCTTAGTACTAAATTAACGTCAACCAGTACTTTGGCATTTTGGAAAAAAATAACTTTTATTAAATTATTTTATAAACAGCAATAAGAACTTAAGTCCTATAAGTTGTTTTGCTGACTTCTTTCAATAATGTGGTTTTTCAGATGGCAACCCAAATGGTTATTCTATCTCTATGCGATGAATTTATTATTGCTATTTCTATAAAACTAGTGATTTTTTTATAGACGAAGAAATATCGCTAAAAGACTATTTTCACTTGGAAATAAATTGGCTTCTTTATTTCGGAAAAACTGTTTGACATAATATTGACCTGAGTTTTATATTCTGTATTAGTTATTTTGCTTGATTTTTCTACATTTTTTAATAATGATGAAATATAGTATAAGTGTAATTTGGCAAAATATCGATAAAGGAAATTATATTGTTATTGAATGTTAGGTAACAGAAACAAAGATTATTATTATCTCATCGAAATTGACGTGGATTAAGATAGTACATGACAATCATAAATATATCAAAAGCACTTTGAACGCTATGCGAATTATTTCTGATATCAATAAAGATTTACAATTTTTTCTATATAACAAGTGTTTTAATTAAAACATTCTTTTATTTTCAGAATGACCCCATAAGCTTTTTTGGTATTCTGAATTAAATTTATTTTGTAACTTAAATAATTTTCATTAAAAATGTTGCCTGAACTAACTAAAAAGCTCAGGTAACAATTATTATTAGGCCTGATTTAGTCCTTGAAAATGTTTAGTCTAATAATGAATAGACAAATTACTAACACATCACATTTATTATCACACATTAACGTAACACTTTTGATAGTTTTATGAAATTTTTAATCTCATTTTATTCTTTGTCGTTGCCAATGCTGGATTTTCGTATCACGCTGCTTTTGCTCAGAGCCCAAAATTCACTTGGCGATAAACCACCTTAAAAATGTATAAAATGATCAAAAATATAAAAATAGTCACTATCATTTAAATAGCCCTTATAAGGTTATATTATAATAACATTAGCTATGATAATAAAATTTCTTCTATATAATATAAATATTTTGGAGATTATTCTGTAGCGAAATAAAATCTTAAGAAAAATTGGAAAATCTTGAAAAAATTTTATGCATACACATACAGAATTATATATTGTTTCATTCATACTTTATTCTTTGACCCAAGTTTTCATGTATTTTTTACATTAGCAGAAAAAATCGTGAATTTATAAATGTTTAAAATTACAATGCGGTATAGTTTGAGGAAGTAACCACATATTCTATTAATGGTAAAGAATTCGCATACAGTAATATAACACTGCTAAAGTCTCAATTCCTAAGTTTTTCCATATGTCATCACAACGATGATAGGAGAGTAAGACTCTCAAAATTTAAGGAAAATTGGAAACTCTCAAAAAAAATATAAACAAACCGTGTATCAATAATTGTATGGAATGATGTTATCCTAATGCCTAATCTCATAAAAAGATGGCTATAACATTACGGTTTTACCATATACCATTTTGAGATAGGGTCCAAAAAGAGTAAGATGAAGTATGTTTGTTCGAACAAGTTTACATTATTTCCTTCAGTCAACGACCTACATTAACATAATTTGTAGACCGCATTGCTTTTAACTAAACCAAAAGTGATTTTGTTCGATTTCTTTTAATAATAACTATCACTTGTATACATATAGATTACTTTGGTGTTTAAGGCTATTATTCTTTAACCTATGTTTATTCCTATTAAGTATTTCAGTATTTCTACTAAGACAAATGTTCAAATTACCATTTAATTTACTTTTCTCCCAGATAACTGGTGAAGTAAGGAAATTATTGCTGATAAAAAAGTGGGACAACCGTACCCGGTAATCAATTATAGTTATAGTTTTGATCATAGGTTGTCTAACTTTTATCACGTCTGCACCTATTTTAGACTTTATATTTTGTACTACATTGACAAAATAAAAATGTTAACCTTTATCTGCTTGAAATCGCCATCCGACGTGTCCAAAACATGAGGAGCAAAATGCGGGGCTCCACACGTAACCAGGAAACCTGGAATCGTTAATTGCACTTCCTGGATGAGCCAAAGCACCTGGTGCCTTCAACAAAGTGATCGGCTCCCTTAGCCAAACATCCACCGAATTATGGTTTTGGCGAGGACTACGTTTATGCTCCCTAATTGATCGATGATAGAATTACATGAAAATAATTTAATAGATAAATGAATAATATAGGAAGACATAACTTTTATATCTTCAAAATTGAGACAAATGTCTCTGAATTGTGGAACTTAATGTGTTTTTACCAATATATAATATAAATGTATATACGGCCTGAAGTAATTTTCTTAAGGGCAATTGGCTAGAGTAAGCCGAATGGATTACTTGGTATCATTATTATTGAGTCCAACATCTCCAAGCCAAACATAAACGTGTATAGTAAAGATTAGTAAATTACCAAATAAATAAATAATAAAAAAATTTATTTAATAAATCCAATATTTGTGATTATATACGTCTTTCTCTCACAGAGTTATTACAGCCCAGAAATCAACCTGTGTGAATAAGTATACGCTTGCATCAAGAGATGTCTGGACTTTTTCAATCACAAATGACTCACCATAATTTAAAAAGTAGATAATTGATTAAATTGACCCTTCAATTAGTTTTTTATATAAAATTAATTAATAAACTATTTTATATCATTTAAAGATAATTATGTGCATTTTTACGAAGAAGAAGCTTTATATTTTTCGACGTTTTAAATCATTCTGAATCGTTTCATACCAAAATTGGATAAAAGTATGCTTGTATATATGTTAAGCAAAAATTGACCTTTTGTCGAACTTTTCTCAAAAATGCACCAATTTTAACAATTTAAAAGCTATTTTTGGAAACTTTTATAGAATCGCGTTTTTTCTGGAATTAGGAGTAAAAAACAGCTGGGCCGTTTTTTCTTAGTAAATTATTACAAATTTCTGTAGGACAATATTGAATAAACTTTGAATTATGATCAATTTGGAGTATGGAAGTGGTTTATTTATAAAAATTCATTACAGTTCGGAAAAAAGGGCCTCGCTTATAAAAAATACAACGTGCTCATATTAGAAGCGTATTTGTACTAATTTGTTGATTTTTCGTATATTTGTACAAAAATGAACAAACTGCAATAGTTTCTAACTCAAAAAATTCTACATTGACTCGAATCTTCATAAATCACTCTTAAATTAATACGTTGATATCTTATTCAGTTTTAAATCTAGTTCATTAAAAATTTGGACATACTAATTTTGTACAAACACCGGTATTTGTACAAAAATAAATAAACTGAAATTTTTATAAATTTCTAACTTATAAAATTATACTACTCGGTGTTTTCACTCTCAAATGAATATATTGGTTTCTTATTAAATTTCACACCTAGTTCATTAAATATTTGGACAAACTGTTTATGCATAATTAATGATTTGAGTAAAACAATCACAAATATAATTTAAAAATAGCCATATAGTGATATTTTTGAATGATCTTAAAACAGTTCAAATGATGCCAATAAAAATGGAAATTCCCTGTATAGTCAGAAAATATTTTGCGACATCATATATTTGATACTAAAACCGACAAACCGCAAATACTGGGCAAGTTGCCAAATTACTTATAAAAATATCACATTCTTATTTAAGAATTTTTAACCAGTTAACTGTGGCGCTTACATTAAACAGTATGTATAGTTTTATATCGTTTGAATCGAGCTCATGACGAGTATATTGGTCAATCACAGAGAAAATTTTAATATTAACTAAAAATTTAAAAACAATTAAAAAATAGAAAATGAAAGCAATAGAAAATATTATTTAAATAGTTAAATCTTAATTCTTGTTCATTAATTATATTATTGGAAAAGATAAAGTGGACAGCCAAAGTAACAAATGAAGAAGTTCTGAGAAGAGTGGGCGAAGAAAGGGCTCTACTGAGCACAATTCTGAGAAGGAAAGGAAACTGGATCGGACCTCTCTTGCAAAAAGAGTGCCTCCTAAAGTTCCTAGAAGTTTGGAAAAGAAAATACATGAAATAAAAAAATGGGGATAGAGAATAGTGATATTGGGATGAAGGGCAAGGAAATCATTTGTTGTGGTGGCTCTCACACCATGGACCTGCCTTCAGCAGACTATCATTTATTATTAATTATATTATTGCCTTAAGAAAAAATACCACTACTACTTATTTTATACATTCTGAGCCTAAAAATATTCGAAACAGCTTGATATTCCAAAATATATTGCTTTTTTGCAAAAAAATCGAGTTCAATATCAAATAGTTACTGTTTTAATACGCATGACGATTATACTCGTCAATGCTCAAAATGTTGCCACTTGACTAGTATACTCGTCAGTTACAGTTAACTGGTCAAGAACATAATATCATATTTAACAAAAAGTTTTAATGGCCAAATCTCTTTTGTCCTCTCTCAATTTTAAGGGCTCCGTTCAGAATTTTATAAAAATAAGATAATATATCAATTATATGTTTTACTCAAAGCACCTTATTCGTGACGTTTCATTATGAACAGCAATCAAATCCGCGACGTCTGCCAATTTCTTCCCACAGCTGGCACAATCAAAATACTTGTGAGTCCTCACATACTCCAATTCAAATTGTAACCTATGAATAGGAGCATCCAACTTCAGCAACTCCTGGAGCACATCGTCTCCCAAATGGAGCCTTACGGCCAGAGAATACGAAGGATCTCTTTTATCCTCCGACGTTACGGATTCTTCTTCCTCGTCTTCATCATAACATGGGAGCGATTTGACCAGTTTCTGCAATTCTCGTAGAAGAATTGTTGGGTCATATTGGCGCAGTACGGAACGATGCCAGGTGTATCCTAAACCGGCTGGTGGATGAGAAGGGACTAAGGGAAGTTCTGGCAAAATTCGGACACGATGTAGGCAAATGTCGCGATAGCGGTGCAAATCTTGCAGGGCACCTAGTACTGGATTAAAAGACTAGATGAAAATATTATTAACGAAGAAATAGTGTTTGTGTTGGATCATTTTTTAGAATTTTTGTAGGGTAGACCGGAGTTTGCGAATTTGCCGGTAAGGGGGCGTCCATTAATCACGTCATCGATTTTTAGGGAATTTTGGACTCCCCCTTCCCTTTGGTGATACGTTGTGATATTTAAAATTATCTCCATCTCCTACCAAACATCACGTGCATTTTTAGTTACGTAATTAGAATTTACGAAAATCGTATTTTTTTTGGATTTTGTATTTTTTTTTAAATCTAAGTAAAAAATAATACACTTGATATCTTACTAGACTTCTCCCTTCCTCACGTGATTTTTCGTGATTTTTTGTCAACACTACCTCCCCCTTTAAAGCCTCACGTAATTAACGGCAAAAAATACCAGTTCAATTTGAATAAGCATAGGACGCTCCCTAAATAGGTCCACATCAACATTATCTCAAAAACGTGTAAAAGGACGTCCATCAATCATGTGATCAATTTTTAAGGATTTTTTGACCTCCCTCCCCCTTAGTGATACGTGGTGATATTCAAAACCCTCTCTTCCCCCTCAAACGTCACGTATATTTTTAGTTACGAGAAAAAAATTGTAAATTTTTTTTTTTTTTTTTTAATGTTTAGATTTTTTTAAAAAATTCAGGTAAAAAATAAATGATATTTTTCTATACCCCTCCATCCCCCACGTGATATTTTGTTATTTTTTGTCGAATCCCACCAACTCATAGAAACCTCTCGGGATTAATGGACGCCCCCTAAAGTGTAGTATTTTTAACGATGCTATTTTAAAGTAGAGGGCAAAAGATGTATAACTAGCCGTCGACTTCTATCATGCTTCAACGCTATCACAAAATAAATAACTACATAGTAAAATTTTTACCGAAAATATATTTTTTCTTGATTTTTTTTGTTTTCAGCACTGTTGTTTAATTTATGGTACTTGCATATAATTTATAAGTATATGTTATTCAATTGTTTTATAACATGAATTGTTATTATTAAATTAGATTCAACAGCTTTTTTGGAGCTTAAAACCACATTGTCAAATTTTTACCGAAAATATATATTTTTTTGTTTTTGTTTTGTTTTGAGCACTATTGTTTAGCTTACGGTACCTGAATTTATTTTTCCAGTATACCTTTATTCAATTGTTTTATAACAATTTTTGTTGAAGTGTAAAACTATACTAATAAATTATTTCTTTTGCAGGTATTATAGTGTACATTGTGCCGATTCTGGTTCCTGTGAAGTCTCAGCCTAATTGTTAAAGTATTGGTATCATGGCAAGTGATATATGGTAAGTCCAACAAGTTTTTAATTTCAAATCTATCGCATCTATAATAACTCTGTCTACACCGATTGGCCAATATATTAAAGACCTCTTCCTGTTTATTATTTTAACATGAAGTTCATATTTTGATATCAAATATTTTTTGCTGGAATAATTTTACCCAATATTGTTAGATAGTTGCTTGTTTGATATATGTTATTTCTCGCGTTAGTTTCCAGTACTAAATAAGAAAAATTCAATTACAATTTTCTAATTTTCATCATCACCTCATATAGTGCAATGTTGTAAATAAAAGTTTGCTAATGCGCGCAATACGAATGTGTGGGAATACACACTTTCATGTTTTAATCGCAGGAAGTTGTGCGTTTATCTTTCGCAAAATCCCAGACATAAATTTTTAACTACATTTGGAATAATATACTATACAGTAGTTGATTTTAAATGTGGCGAGTGCAGTATATATTATCGTGAATGGAAGCCAAATGAGATCATTTCCTGCAAGCAATTTTTGTTTATCTCGAAATTCTTAGCTTTCAACGCATGAGATTACTTTGTAGTAAAAATAAGCGAATCATTTCACATTATTGTTTTCACAGTATTGTTTTTTAATTAAATAATCACCAGAAATATATATTGTCATGCAGGAATGGACCACTAGCACTAAGTAAAGTTGGTAAAAACCAAACCAACTACATCATAATAAATAACACATATCAGACAAACAACCATCGAAAAAATCGAAATCGAAAAAATCCACTATTTAAATTTTAATTTAAAAAGGAGTTTAACATAATAATAACTCCACTATTTTATGATATGCAAATCAATTAATAGCTTAATCAGGAAAATTATAATATATATTGTTAATCTTAATAAACAAAAATATTTCTCAACCCTTACTACCATTATAGATCTTGCTTTGGTAGATATTTCTGTTTAATTTATCAGAATCAGACTTACAATTTGTAAATACAATTATCTTATATATGAAAATGAATCGCAAAATGTGTTGGTAAGCGCTGATTTTTTTACTGTGCTCCAATTTGTATGAAATTTTGAGATTAGGTTTATTTTACCCTCAAGTTCAAAAGAAAATAATTTAGACCTTTCCCGGGGGGGATGACATCCCTCTCAGTGGTGTAATTTCATTTTTTTTATTTAAATAACGTCGGATATCGATAAAAGAACTTATCATTAAAAAAAAATGTTTTGTAATGTTTTTGAAAAAGCAAATAATCATCATTTTATTTAAAGCAGTTGCACATTCAAGATCCATATGGATGGATGTATATGCATTTCGGTATAGACTGCAGTGTAAAAAACATAATAATTTTTAACTAATTGGTAAATATCAGTATAGGTTATTAACAAAATTAAAACCTTTGAATTGTGAGCATAAGTACAGGACAACGTCTGTCGGATCATCTAGTTACAAATAAGATAATCTCAATCTTTTAGGAACACAAACCAACGAAATACATATTTTATGGACAGATTTTTTAAAAAGATCACACTGGATATAACCTTTGTATGAAACTTTATCAGAAAAATTAGAATTGGAATGACTATTAATTAAATCTATCTCTTGTTTTTCCTTATTTCACTTTGACATTTATTATCTTATTGTTTACACGTTGCCAGTGTAAAAGTTTTATTGGTCCTATTTACTCGGACCACCATGTAAATTATTCTGGAGGTTATAAAAAAAAGTTGAATTCAGCTTAAAAATAACAATACTCCTTATAAAACAATCTAATGACGTATACCTATTTAAAATTATACTGAGGTCATGTTAACTAAATAACACTGCTCAACATAGAAAAACTAAAAATGGCAAATCTTTCGTTGAAACTTTGAAAATGTGACCGTTCATTTCCTGATAGGCACGTGGCCTGATTCAAGGCGATGGCTGGTTATACATTTTTTGCCGCATACTTTAAAATAGTACTGTTGAATAATACCATATTTCACTTGTTTGTGAGATAATGGTGGTGGTTACTTTCATACGCGGGTGCGGAAGAATCCAATTATTTTTTACAATTTTGACACCAAAATTTAAATAATTGCTTGTAAATGTTAGTAATGAATCTCATTATTTCCATGTATATTTTTTACAAAAAATATTAATTTTATACCTCTAAATCTTTGTTTTCCGCGCGATCTGAAACTAACATCATCAATATAGTCGCCATTCGGTCCGGCATCAAAGGTGACACCATATCTGCTGATCTTATTGGTTTCTCCCGGTGCCAAAACCACCATTCCAAAGGTGATAACCTTCGGCGGGTCCATATCACAAATAAACATTGCCGCAGCTAAAGATAAACCAGTAATTCGAAAATGTTGCCCTGGCAAACACATTTTCCTGTGCAAAAGCAAGGGCAGTTCTAGGGCTTCGCCTTCTGGCAGCAAAGTCGGTGCCCAGGGAATGGGCAAAGGGTCTCCTCGATCTTGGTAGGGCAGATATCGTACTTGAGTAGTGTGACGGGGGATGTGTTGTTAGTTATCGGTTGTTCCATTTTTGTTTTAAATGATTAGATTAATTAATCACTTGTTTCAGGTTTTCGAGTATTTTTCTATAAAAATCTGTTGAGTTGAGATGTTTATGCTATTGTTTTCCGTGTTGTATTTTTAAAGTTTTTTTAAGTCAGGCGCGGCGAAGAAGTTCACATCGGATTCATGACACATTTACAGCTTTGGTTTGTTAACTTGTTGATCTATAAGCAAGGGAAAAGTAAATATTTTTGCTCAAAAATAGTAATAATGCAATTTATGTTGCAATATTAAGGCTTACACAAAAATCGACATTTTAGAAGTGATTTATTAGTATTTTTTCCAAGAAAACCGGTTTTAACCAGTTACTTTAGTCTCAAGTACAATTAGCTATATTCCTTATTTGCAAATTTTTTAGATGTTATTCTTACATTGGAAACAATATTTGCTACTAATATTCACATTATAACCTAAATAGTTTTACAATTGGATTTTACTGGATATGATCCAGCTATTTGCTATTTTAAATAAAATTTTTGAAAAAAAAAAATAATACAAAATATATTCTGAAAAGTTGAGATGTAAGTCAAAACCAGGAAGGCAATTTTTAGTTATGCTAATTTGGGACGGAAGTGGGGTGAGGCTTCAAACTAACAAATGCTATTTGAGAATACAATAAAAAAAAGTTTTTTTTATTTGAATCATTTTTTTTTTAAATTAGATTTGCGGGCTTTAAGTAATAATTTATTATTCGATTATATGTGATACTTTTTCATCTATAATTATGTTACATATATTTTAATCCATATGTTTTTTTGCTTTTGTGCCTTTTTATATGAAATTCTATTAAATTTTCTTCATAATTAATTCGAAAAAATCAACACTTGTTCATTTGTATTCATTACTTAATTGTAGGTCAACTCGGGACAAAAGATCTAAATCCGGGTCAAATATTACTTTTAGAAAAACCCGGGACACAAGGAAAAAATCCGGCACTGTCCAGGCCAAATCGGGACGTATGGTCACCTCATCTTAAGACAAGTTGTATGAACTTTCCGAATCAATAAAAATTAATATTTAGCTATTTCAATAACATTTTTAACTTCTCATTGAAACATTCGAATCCTATTGATGCTGATTAGTTTTTTGCAAAGGCAGTTCTAGCTGTTACGGAGATACGAAGAAAAAAAATGCGAAAAATAGTAGTAGTAAATGAAACAGATCATATAATTCTAAAAACAATTTACCTGTATTAATATTGTGAAAAAATTATTAGTTTTTAGGAAAGGCAATTTTATTTAATTTCAATTTTATTTTAAATATGTAAAATTATTCGAACTTCAATTTTAATTCAAGCTAAAAACATTTAAATTTACTCGAATATTTCATTGCGATAAAATGATTACAGCATTTTGCCTTAAGACACCACTAATTTACTAAGAAACTTTTTTTTGAAAAAAAAAAACTTTTTAACTGATGGACACAGTTTACTCGTATTTGTCGTCCGAAGGGAGCTCATGACGTGCATATTCGTCAACTACAAAGTAAATTGCGCTGGTAAGATATCACATTAAAAATATGCGATTATTATACAAAATTGAAAAAATTACAAAAATCGTTTTTGTTATAAGCATATTTTAAAAATATGCTTATTAATTAAAAATTGTCTAGCTAAAAACGGATTAAAATTAATGAAATATTATACAAGTAAATGTAAGAAAATTGAAATAGATTTTGATGAAAAGCAAAAACTATTTTTAAAATAAATGGTAGAAAATGTTATTTAAATAGCTAAATCTTTATTTTTAATTATTACATATATCTTTTTCATATTTCGGAAAGTACATACAACTTGCCTTAAGGTAAAATGCCACTTACAACCACACATTTCATACAATCATATCCTGAAAATATCCTAAACAACTTGAGATTTTAGAATATATTTCTTTTTCTTTCAAAAAAAAAATTATTTAATTAATGGTAATGGCAAATGGTAACAGTTTCATATGCTCGTCAATAAACAAAATTCTTCCACTTTTCTATGACGAGTATATTCGTCAATTACAGTTACTGTCGAACAAAATCATATTTTTAACTTTATTGAAAGAAATTACTAGAGAACAATCAAGAGTTATTGTCATTACTCTATAAGTTATAGGACTAAATTACACATAAAAAATAATAACAATTACACATGAAGTAAACACAAATAAAAATGATTTACAAAATTGCTCCAATAAGAAATTGACTATGGAAAACAATTACTACAATATTTGTATACCAAAAATTTTCCTGCATGTCACATGTCAAATTAGTAAAACCAGTACCTGTAGTTATCATTTCTGCGAAATATCTATCCTTCGTCATCAAATCAATGATGACCAAATGATGTTTCTCCTCTGGTGCCCCCGATATTTGCGTTTGTAGCCCCAAACCACCGATCCCGGCGGCCCCACCCGATAAAATTTTGATTAACTATCGTATTCCCATTTTTGAGATCTCCAACGATCTTCGGCTTGGAATATATCTTTGGAAGTTTGTGCGGCACAAATTAATTTTACCCACAAAAACTTAATCACAAGAAATTAATGTGATAGTTTTATTATTATAAAAATATAAAAACAATTTTTTTGATGGGTTATGACAATTGGAGCTGTGGTTACTTGAATCTTTTATTTTTTAACTGTCAAAGTTTTAGAAAATTGTAAAAAATATTAGAAATTAAAATTTAAATTATAATACTTGTATAAATTCATGTCCTTCAAAATATTTTTGACAATCTATTAAGAAATTTTGAACACCAGTTTCTTCATATTGTTGACTTAACATAATACTTTTCTTATAAGAAGAATAATTTGTTCTTGCTACTGCTGATAAATTTGGTAAAAATATGTTTGTAGGAAACTATAATGATTACAAATATTTTTTACACTTATATATTAGACAATAATTAATTAATTCAGTCTTGCATAATATAGACAATAATTAATTAATTCAGTCTTGCATAATATAGTCACTACTTCTGCTAACATATTGTAGTTTTTTCGATCTATTTAAAAAAAATGTAATTTTGTGTTTATTATTGAAACTAAAAAAAATCAAAATCGTGATGTTTCTTTTGTAATTTTTGCTTTATTTCATATTATTTAGAACGTTTGCACTTTTCTATTTTTTTTAAATACATTTGAACATCAATCAAAATAGAAGCTATTTTTTGTTGTTTATTCTTTATCTTAATGCTTCGTGAAGGCAACCCAGTGGTTAAGCATTTTCTTTCTGACTAGAAATAGCAAAAATGTTCTGAAATCCAATTTACCTGAATTTACCCTTGATATTAAATACGTGAGTATAGATTTCAAGTGAAAATTACATTTTCTACTACTGCTTGATATCAAGCTGTCTTTGATGGGTATCGACACCTGGACAAGTGTTGATTAACCCACGTATTTACCACAACGCCATGATTAGTTTTATCAAGTTTTTAATATAATAATTAATTTTATGTTTACTCTGCCCAAATTCTAGACCACATTTTCTATATTTTTGTCAAATTTCTGCTACTATATTTTTGTGACTTGTGTCTCAGCTTTCAACTACCTGTATGTTCTCTTCATTCATCGGCCTGATATTTTATTTTCGAATTTGTCGAAAATCATTTTTCCTACGATATGGCACCGGTCCAGTTCCTTTTCTATTTATAGTCGTTTGTAGAATGAGTTGATTTTTCTTTCAAGTCAAACCATTGGCGTTATCAAAACAATTGTGAATTTAACAAAATTATAGCTCAATAATTATTTTAATACAGCTTGTATTAAAAATTATTAAAAAATTTAATTGTTAAAAAAATACAAATAATTCTTCATAATCTTCTTCGCAATACGTCCTCATTTCCCAGATACACATTACAAAACTCAATTGTAGAATTAAATGTATATCGAATAATTTTAACTATTTCCTTGAAATTGTAGTTCTAATAGTTTTTCTGCTGGAACAGAAACCAAAACTAAATATTTTAATATATTTTTTTATACTAATGTTTACTAGAATGAAATATAAATTAATAATATTGATTAAGTTGACTATAGTAAATGTATGGGGTTCATGCAACATCCCTTAATGCAAAATGCTTAAAACTAGTTTTCTATTACTATTATTATTTTTAATTATTATGTAATATATTTTTACATTATTTTTAATAAATGTTTAACTTTTATTATATTAAAAATTACTGTATTTTTAATAATGTATATGAAAAAATTTAATATTCCTCGAATATTTCATTGTGGTACGGGAAGTTCCAGCAATTTGCTTTAAGGCACGATGCCAAGCACTACTAGTGTTTCTGTAGATTGACATAGATGAAGGTTATCGTCTCAATATAAGAACTTATATTATATTAGATATATAAAATAGGACGCTGAAATTTACAGTGTTTATAATAATTATTTTCAAATATTTAAATCAATTGTTGACTCATTGATAAATTTTTATTGATGATTGATTATTTTTAGTCATGACTGAAACTGTACAGGAAGTTCCAGCAATTTGGCTTGAGGCGCAATGTCATGCACCACTGGTTAATTTTTACTCTACTAAGTTGCATACAAAAATTAACTAAAAAAATCTGTCAAACTGCTTTCAATCATTTCGAAATTTATGAACAATGTATGGAAATAAAATCGTTGTTATCTGCAAATCGCTTGAAACTTGAAAAACATAACTAATTTATATTTACAGTAATCATAAGGTGCATTCATTCATTACAGAATTCGTAGAAAGTTTAGTATGTTTAACTTTCCATGGCTTATTTAACAAAAATGTTGCATATACCATTTCTCAAGGGTTCAAAAATTTCAAGTCGTCATTTA